GGCAGCCCCCGATCAGGCAGCCCGCGCCCGAAAGCCCGCTGCTTCTCGCTGTCTGACTGGTTCTGGCCACAGCCTTTGCCATTTCAGATATCAGCTAAAGAATTAATAAGAATACGTGTTTTGAAAGAGTTTATTGCGAGAACCTCGTTGAATACCAAGTTCTTTGCTAGTAAGTGCTCTGTGGCCCGAACACATTATTAAATGGGGTTTCTTCCACTTTGCAAGGCAACGGCCTCATGCTATCCTTTGTATGTGCTAATCAAAGCCTTTGGTTTTTCTCCATACTTTCAGAAAGCCTAACTGACCTTAACGCTCCAAGGATTTTATTAAAATCAGTACTAGAATTAAGTTTACATTTCAGAATGGCAGAAAATCAGCAAACTAAACTATTACAATTTTTAGTTTTGACTCTATTTTAAATGAACACTTTCTACTATTTCTGCAGCATCACATTTTCAAGTCCAATCAGCAGTATTTCACACCAAGACAAGAAAAGAAAAAAACTAATGTGGCTGAGGTATACATCTGTGTTACCAGATTCTGCAAATTAAAGAAGGTCAGAGTTCAAATGAATGAGAGTTTATTAAAAATGCCCCAGAGCATTCTTGATTCCAGATTGGATTCGGCTCCGCACAACTCATGCTAACATAATACTGTTCCAGTCCGTGGGAAGGAGGAGGGGGAGGGACAGTTGCATGCTTTCTCAGTTGAAGTATAACATATTTCTGTAGGATGACAAAGAGCTGGCAACTTTCCAGCAATCTAGGTTAGTATTGTTAATATTACTGTCTTTAAAGGGTTGGCACTTCATTTTAGCAACAATATTAGTAATAAATACAAGAGTTTTGGATTTCCCTAACTGACTTTTTCAAGTTTCGGTAGCTATACAAGAAGTCTATATCTACTTTAAAACATAATCTTGTGTTAGTACACACAGATAATTCATGAATTTTACAAAGAAAAATAAAATACATAAATCCTACTGTTTACTTATAGATTCTTCACTTTAATGCAAGAATAATAACCATTATAGATAATTTTTTAAAAAAGGGTTTAACAAACTATTACATTCATCCAGTACAGGTTTCTGTGAGCTGCATTTTTATAATAAGAAGTCACCCAGTGTAAAAATCCATCCAGTTGTTTTCAAATGTGCTTTTTTCCATTTACTAAGGAAATGCTTTGCTTTTTTTTTTGTGCCAAGTTACACACTATATAAATTTCAGTTATCTCTAGTTCTGTAAAGATTAATTAAAAATATTTTTTTTCCCCAATGATTAAGCGTGAGATTGCAAAAAAGGAAAGACTATATTCCTTAAAGTTTCTCTTTGTGGCTTTCCTACAAATTTACTCTGTCCCTGGACTAAAAGGACTTAGATTACACATTCACAGAGATGAGGGAAAACAGATAAAAACCTGGATTTGCACACACAAATATCCACTTACCAGCTC